GCATGGTACTGGAATAGAAACAATGGTGGATCAATGGAACCGAACAGAAGACCCAGAAATAAACCCACACACTTATGGACACCTGATTTTTGACAAAGATGCCAAAACCATACAATGGAAAAAAGATAGCATCTTCAACAAATGGTGCTGGTCTAACTGGATGTCTACATGTAGAAAAATGAAAATAGATCCATACTTATCACCCTGCACAAAACTGAAGTCCAAGTGGATCAAAGACCTCAACATAAAACCAGACACATTAAATCGGCTAGAAAAAAAGTGGGGAATACCCTAGAACTCATTGGCACAGGGGACAACTTCCTGAACAGAACACCAACAGCACAGGCTCTAAGATCAACAATCAATAAATGCGATCTCATGAAACTGAAAAGCTTCTGTAAATCAAAGGACACCATCATCAAAACAAAACAACTGCCTACAGATTGGGAAAGAATCTTCACCAATCCTTTTTCTGACAGAGGGCTAATATGCAGTATATATAAAGAACTAAAGAAGCTGAAAAGCAGCAAACCAAGTAATCCAATTAAAAAATGGGGAACAGAGCTAAACAGAGAATTCTCTGTAGAGGAATATTGAATGGCAGAGAAACACTTGAAGAAATGCTCAACCTCATTAGCCATTAGGGAAATGCAAACCAAAACAACCCTGAGATTTCACCTTACATCCATCAGAATAGCCAAGATGAAAAACTCAAGTGACAACACATGCTGGAGAGGTTGTGGAGAAAGGGGAACCCTCCTCCACTGCTGGTGGAATGTAAACTTGTACAACCACTCTGGAAATCAATTTGGCGCTTTCTCAGACAACTAGGAATAGCGCTTCCTCAAGATCCAGCCATACCACTCCTAGGCATATATCCAAAAGAGGCTCAAGTACACAAAAAGGACATTTGCTCAACCATGTTTGTATCAGCCTTATTTGTAATAGCCAGAAGCTCGAAACAGCCCAGATGCCCCTCAACTGAAGAGTGGATGCAGAAATTGTGGTACATCTACACAATGGAGTATTACTCTGCAATGAAAAACAAGGAAATCATGCAATTTGCAGGTAAATAGTGGGACCTGAAAAGGATCATCCTGAGTGAGCTGTCCCAGAAGCAGAAAGACATACACGGTATATACTCACTCATATAGACTTATAGGATAAACCTAAAATCTGTCCATCTAAAGAAACCAATCAAGAGAGAGGACCCTGACTAAAACGCTCAATCCCCATCCTGAAAGGCAAAGAAGATGGACATCAGAAGAAGAAAGCAGGAAACAACCTAGGAACCTGCCACAGAGGGCCTCTGAAAGGCTCTGCCTTGCAGACTATCAAAGCAGACGCTGAGACCTTATGGACAACTGTTGGGCAGAGTGCATGGAATCTTATGTAAGAAGTGGGAAATAGTAGGTTATGGAGAGGACAGGAACCCTACAAGGAGAGCAACAGAACTAGAAGATTTGAACACAGGGGTCTTCCCAGAGACCCATACTCCAACCAAGCACCAGGCATGGAGATAACCTAGAACCCCTGCACAGAGGTAGCCCATGGCAGTTTAGTGTCTAAGTGGGTTACATAGTCAGGGGAAGAGGGACTGCCTCCGACACAATCTGATTGGCCTGCTCTTTGATCACCTCCCCTTGAGGGGAGAGCAGTCTTACCAGGTCACAGAAGATGACAATGCAGCCATTCCAGATGTGATCTGATAGACTAAGATCAGAAGGAAGAAGAGGAGGACCTTCCCTACCAGTGGACTTGGGGAGGGGCATGCATGAAGAAGGGGGAGGGAGGGTGGGATCGGGAGGGGAGGAGGGAGAGGCTTATGGGGAGATACAAATTGAATAAAATGTAAAAAAAATTAATAATAATAAAAAGAAAAAAAAGTTTCCTTACTGACCAACCAAGTTCTGTCACCACTGCTTAACCAGACCGCCAAGGAGCAGCACTTGAAAAATGATGAGAAAATGTTGTAATTGTCACTTCCAAATATTAAAATGACATGTCCCACCAGGCAGAGAAAACAGCACCTCCAATTCTGTGGCCATGTGAATGTTGAGGGAGCAAAGGAGTCAGACCCCGTGAGGCGGAAGCACACGGCCTCTCAGACGTGGTTAGCACCAACGCTTTTGAGATGAGCTGTGGTGGTACCCGTGATTACAGAGCAATGGTCAAAACAGAACCCACGTGATTGGCCTACACAGCCCTGCCTGTTTATAGCCTGTGGTGGTTGGTGTGAGACAGGCCTCTTGTGTTTGAATGCTTGCTCCCTGGCTGCTGCTGGGTCTGGGGGAGTTTTGGAACCTTTGGGACATGAGTCTTGCTGCGGGAAGTGCACCACTAGGGGCCAGCTTCGAGTTTTTGTAGCCTGGCCCCACTTGAGGTTCTCTCTGCTTACTTCCTGTGTGTAGAGGAAGTGTGCTCTCTCTGCTCTTCCTGCTGTCATGCCTTCCCCACGTGATAGACAGCACGGCCTCTGGAACTGTAAGCCAAAACCAACCCCGTCTCTTTATGTTACTTTTTTTTGGGGGTCTGGCTGTTCTATCACAGCAATAGAAAATGTAATACCTATTTTATATTATTTATATTATAGTGTATATATTATAGTATTCTCATTTTTTTACACCTGAGTATGAATACTTCGAAAGACAGTGTGCTGGCGAAGTTTTTTGGTTTTTTTTTTTTTTTTTTTTTTTGGTCAACTTGACACAAGCTGGAGGGAATCTCAACTGAGAACATACTTTCATAGATTTATCTGTAGGCAAGCCTGTAGGGCATTTTCTTGGTTAAGGATTGGTGTGGAAGGGCCCAGACACAGGGTGCAGTGCCACCCTGGGCAGGTGGTCCTGGGAAGCGTGAGAAAGCATTCTGATCAGGGCACGTTCAGCAAACCAATGGACAGCCTCCGCCCCCTTCTTCCCCCCACTCAGCCCCATGCTGCCAGTAAGCGACACAACCCCCTCCCCCACCCCTCCCCCACCCCTTGGCTTCTGCTTCAGTTCCTGCTTCCTCAGATGTGGAAGTATAAAACGAGATAAACCTTTTCCTCTCCAGGTTGCTTTTGGTCATGGTGTTTCATCACACTGAACGAACCCTTAACCAAGACAGACTTAATCGAAGACGGAAGATGGTAGTTAGCAGGAAGAACCGAGGGGACTCCAGCTCTTGTTCACAGTCCATCGCCTCACTCCTGTCATGATGATTCTTTTGCTTTCTCAACTCGGTGCCTCATGATTCTACTCAGGGAACCTGGGGTGACTTCAGGAGAAAGCTGACAGGCCATGCAAGCGGAATGTAAGAATTTTAAAACCTATATACCATGCAGAAAACACTTCCATTCAAGAAAGACTTATTTTTATTGCCTTTATGTGTGTGTATATTTCTGTGCATGTATGAGCATGTAAGCGCAGTGTTCTCAAAGGCCAGGAGAGGGTGTCGGATCCCACTAAAGCTGAAGTTGCAGGTGCTTGTGTGTCGCCTGACATGGGTGCTGGGAACTGAACTCAGATCCTCTGAAAGAGTAGAGGATCTTAACTTAACTGCTAACCATCTCTCCAGCCCCATTTCCCCAGTATAAGGACAAGTGGAATCAATGCTGATGTAAGGAGGAAGATAGAATTCTAGCTTTTCTTTTCTAAAAAATGTTTATTTATGTATTTAAATGTAGGAGTGCTCTGTCGGCATGTACACCTACATGCCAGGAAGAGGGCATCAGATCCCTTTATAATGGTTGTGAGCCACTGTGATTGCTGGGAATTGAACTCAGGACCTCTGGAAGAGCAGCCTGTGTTCTTAACCTCCGAGCCATCTCACCAGCACCAGGATTCCAGCTTTTCTTTTTCCTTTCAAATTACTGTTAATTATCTTAGATTGGGTATTAAGGATGCCATTTGAAAATGTATACGTACCCAAAGCTTTGAAGGGACCATTTTCCTAACTGTAGGCAGCTGCCCTGGGAGGGCCGGGAGAGAGGACCAGCAGCTGGGACCATCAGCAGGGACCCCATAAAAATGGTGACGTATTCTGTGATAGCCGTGGGATCACCGTGGCATTTCCTGGCTAGCTGCTCTGTGAGAAGAACCCATTTCTCTTCTGTCTCAGCAACAAAATCAGGTTGCCCTGGTCGCTTTCCCTGTGAGGTCAGGTACATGGCAGGAGCAGCTTCAGGGAGAGTGGGCACACTGCGACTCAGCCACAGAGCGAGCAGCATCATGGCAAGGAGGGCGTGTCCGAGTGAATCCTTGGTGCCCACTGCTTCTCACATGGGAGACCCACAGCTTTAACCCTCAGTCCTGCCGATTTACTCTCCTCTGGCATCCAGGCTCCACCCCCTGCAGGTCTGAGAGCACCTCAAAATTTTGGAGTACAAAATGTTCAAATACAGAAACCTCTGTGTGCAGAGTTATTGCAGGCTCAAGTCATACCATCAACACAGTATTTTTAAATTTTATTTGAGATAGGAGCTAACTATGTAGTTATAATCCTCCTGACTCTGTCCCACTCTATTTTTGTCTGCATTTTCTTTTCTTCACTTTTTATTTTTCATTTACCAAGAATTCATTTTTAAATTTGAAAATTATTACTAGAAATGAAAATTATTTAACTCTCAGAGTCAGAGAAGGCAGTACAGATTTTAATGGAAAGAAAATAATTTGAAAAAAAGTGTATTTTCCAGTGTACAGAATGATAGCTATTTTGTTTAAAGGTTTCCCCGTTTATTTCGTGTCTGTGTGTGCATGTGCGTGGATGCTTGTGTCCTTCAGTGTGCACGAAGGCCAGAGGATAGCTTTCAGGAGAGGGTTCTCTCCCTCTACCACGTGGGTCTCAGGGATAGAACTCTGGTTGTCAGGCTCGGCAGCAGGCAGCAGGCAGGCTAGGTAGCAGGTCGAGTCCCCTCACCAGCCTGCTATTTCCTCACGACCCTTGGCGAGTACTTGAAAAACGTGGTCTTTGTTTTTGTGACAAGCACACACACAAATGACAAGGAAAAGAGGTGGTTTTAGGTATTTATTTATTATTATTATTTTAAAAAAGCAACTTCCAGGGTATACCATTGTACAGGTTCAGCCCAGTCTCCTGCAGTGTGATATGGTGGTGACAGATCTTTTATAACAATAACTCAGAGACGCTGAAACCATAACTAAGTTATCATAGAAAAAGAGAAGAGTTTAGCGGTATGTGTATTCAGAAATCATACTCTTAATTCTTTTAAACTGGTTCTCCAAGCATGGTGACGCAGCTGAGCTCAGATAACTAAAAACAAAACAAAACAAAACCCCAAAACCCCACCTGACCAGAGCGCTCCTTCCCTCCCTCCTGGTGAGTACCAGCCAGCTTTGTACAGCTTGCAAACAAATTCCACCCGTTTTACACAGCATCCATTCCTTTTGTTCCTGAACTGATGGTCATTATCTCACGATTATTATTTGGTGGATTTTTCCACCGTCACATTCTGTGAAGATCATTTCTGCTCATCCTCAGGGTTCCGGGGAGACTCCTGGCCCAGGTTGGAGAGCCAAGACTTTCCACTAGTTTATGGGTAAAGCTGGGGAAAGACAGCTCTTCTGTCTCACAGGAGAGTGTGTGGAGCTCCAGGCAGGACCCTGCTAGCCAGCTGGCCGTCACAGCAGAGGGACAGCAGTTCTCAGCAAGGCTGTTGTGGCTGTTGTGTAAACGAGGGTGTCGTCGGTTCAGTAACTATTTGTACATTGTAAAAGCAGAATGGTCATAGGAACTGAACAAGCACAGCTTGGTAAAGTGACCGGCCATGAAACATCATTGGCTTTAATAATTTACTACAACTGTTCTTATCCACACCGACAGGACATGCTTCCTTCTGTCACGTGGAACATGAATATATACAACAAAATTTGGCTTTTATATAAAAAAAAAAACTTCATGAGGACAATCACAAGGGGTCAAACAGATAATGCATGCAGTTTCTTAATTACAACCACCATCTCTGTTGCTCACAGGGAATCACACAGAACCTATGGACTTTGTCAACCTCAACCAGGTAAAGGCTTTTCCTGCCTGTGGAAGCCTACTGTGAAAGGTCGTAACCTTGGCCAGCTTCTAGAAACTTCTAACCATGATTCTGAATGACCAGGGAAGACGTTGGGTCAATTCCAAGGCCAAACCTTGTAAATACTTCTCAGAACCACCAGACATCAGCATCCCTTATTCCTCAGACACATCACGGCCTCCTTTGAAACTGCACAGGGCCCAGCAAGGCCTGCTCTCGGGAGCTTGCTGCCTTCCCCGGAGCCCACTCTTGTGGAACAGCATCTTGATTCGGACTATCTCATGGCTGTACAAATTGTGCAGTGGGGGAGTGGGTGGCCTGTTTTGTACTGCCAGCAGTCAAAACAGTTGCCATGGGCTCATTGTCTCCATGCTTTGAGCCCGGGGAGCTCATTCTCCTTGGAATGGTTTTCTGGGGTCTAGCAATGTCACCTCAGGTGGCTGAGACATTCTGGCCCCTGCATTATGAGAAACTACACTAAAGAAGCCATGTTCTACAAGAGGAAAGTGCAGGGCACAGTAAGGGTGAAGGAGGTCGCTTTCCTAACTCCTGAGAAGCGGGGAATGGCAGCCACAGGGAGAAGGGCAAGGTCTGGGGTACACTTGGGAAGGTGTTACTTTGGTATTGGCACCAAGGGTGGAACATTACTGTCTTGGACTTAGGTGCTCTCCCAGGTCGATTTTCCATAGACAATACGCTTTATGCTGGTGGCTCCTCCATTCCTCTGCTTTTCTTTCTAAGGGAGGGATTACAAATAGCATTTATCTCTCTCAATTCTAACTGATGATTGATGGGTCCTTAGAGGAGTGATTTCAAGTATTGTGGGAAAATATCATTGGGTTAATTTGAGAAGTACTGCTGAGATTGATTAGTAATGTCTGCCTGGGAACGAGAATTGATGTCTACAGAGCGCACTATGCTTGGATGCCTTTGTTCCGTACGAGCTGAAAGACAGGCTAACTTGAGTCCTTGAAGGAGCTTCGTAGCTCACAGCCCAAAGCATAAGAGCTTGTATTTATTTTATTTCTTTTGTTCCAGGGAAGAGTTTCGAGTTCTAGGAGCCAGAGACCAGAATTTTAGGGTGTGTGGGAACAGGATGGAAGCATCATTTTGCATGGGTTGCACTCTGCCTTTGACAAAGGGCTCACTGAACAAGCAGCTTCAGAACGACAAGGAAGAAGTGGGGTGGGGGTCTCAGGCAGAGATTTTCTGTGTTACACACTGGGTGTATTTTCCCTTATTTAACAACTGGTAGTATTTGAACAGGTTGAAAAGCCAAGGAGAAATACTCCTTCCATACAATGGCCCGTTTCAGAGGGAACCACCTAGGAAGTTTTCTCATCAAGTCGGGACTACTTCCACTCAGCTGGATTTAGAAGTCTCTCGTGTACTGAAGATGAAGGACCCTGTGGGTGTCACTCGGAAGGCGCCGTGTGAGCAGCTCTTATCTATGCCAAAGCCAAACCTCGATATGTTTGAAGGTGAATCGTTGGCAGGTTGCCTTTGACAATGACAAGGCTTGCCGGTTTAGGGACTGTGGCTGGCTAGATGTAACACCTGATGCTCCCATCCACACTTTTCCGTCAGCGCTAAGGACCGGCTTTGCTAACCTCTCAGCATGGCAACACACCTTTCCCGCGGCAGCCCCTGTCTCCCTCCTCACCGGGAAGCCGGAAGGGTTGGGAAAGAGAATAGAGCAGATGTTCTCCTAGAAGGCAGCCTGCAGAGCCCAGCCGGATACCTGCTTGATGCACACTAGGGACACCTCCTGTTGTCAGAGTTGCTGGGCAGTGCCCAGGGGTGAGGATGGCCTGCTTCCCAGTCCAAGGGTCAAGAGTCAGGTCCGGGAGGCGGCATCCAGAACCTCAGCCAGGGCATTTCCTATCCAATGCTGCAATCATGCTCAGCAATCATTTTCTTCCTGGCCTCCTCCATGGGAGATAATCTGTCTGAGAACATATTGGCAATGTGGCCGTCTCTGGAACCTTCCTCTGGAAGCGAGGGGTCACAGGCTAGAAATGTGACTGTCATTGTCTCATTGTTTGTCTTCAGGCAGTTCAAAATTCCCATTTTCTTCTGCCCATCACGACTTGCTTTTTAATCGTGCAAATGTCAGCCGCTGCTCACCACGTGGGCTGGGCAGATCTTTCTGTCAGCAGAGGAGGCTCTGCTGGAGTTTCTCAGGCAGCCCAGGGCACAGACTTTGGGTTCTAGACAGAAGGCCTTGGAGGAGGTCGGGAGGGGGGTGGTGCCCTGTTGGGGGGTGGGGCCTGAGGGGGAGGGGGGAGAGTGGATGGTGGGGAAGGGATGGGAGGAGTGGGGGCGCTGGGGGCTGGGGGAGGGCAGTGGGGAGCAGGGGGTGGAGGAGTGTAGATAGGAGCCGGCGGTGCTGAGCTGGGATGGTAGGTGTTGTTGAGGGGGTATTTGGCTGGCTGACTGTTCTTCACTCTGGTGAAGTTGATGCAGCGGCCCTGGAAGAGAACAATAGAAGGACCATGAGCTGACAGCTTAAGACAGACCAGGTGCGGAGCATGGTGGCCCTTGAAAGAATCTGTGAGGGACAAGAGACACACTGACATGCTGCTGATGACCTGGGGACCTGATGTCACATTTCCCTTCCTGAGCTGGCTGGGCCTCAGAACTGTCACCGTACATCTGCCTTACAGCCTCTCACCTTTTTGGAGAGAGGGAAGAGGGCTGATGCTAGCTGGGCCATACCTCAGGAAGGGTTTCACACTTACCAGCCTCTCAGTAGGGTGTGACCAGCATTTCCTTCCCTGCGAAGAAGTTGGAGTTGAGAAACAACCCTTTCCCCAGGCCCCACACCCAGACTGCTTTTGGTCTGGTCCCAGGAGTGGCTCTGTATCCATCCCTCATTGTTAAGCAGGTGTATAACCGAATTTGACTCTTTTTCCGTGTGTGGCTTTTTTAACAGGACGATGCTGAGAGAGTCCTGTGCCCTCTCCCCAAACAGACTCTGGAGGGCACAGAGCCCGAAGCCAGCCTGAAGTAGCCCCATCTCCTGCTGTGCCCTCACTTTGTTCTTTTACCAGGTACCCAGCCCACACTCGCCTGGTGGCAGCCTCTTCTGAATGTCACCAACTGTACGAACTCTCTTTGTGCTTCCTGCTGAGCTCCTCCCCAGCCCCTAACCAGGCCAGCTGTGCTTCAATTTTCTGATGACACTGTACAGCGCTTTTCCTTTAAGGTGTGACGGCCGTTTGTGATAGGTTCCCACAGTGACGACTCAGAGTCTGGATTTACTGGACTATCTACTCTGCCTCCCTTACTGAATGCCTGATGTTCACCAGGAGCTTCAGGAGCCTTGGTGCCTTAAGGATGAAGGGAGAGTCTTGGCTGCTGGACTGAGGTCAGGTTCCACTGCCTTCAGATCTTAGAGCTGCCGGCTAGTCCAGAAGGCCATGCGCTGGCTGTGTGAAACTGAGCACACTTCCTTCAGCAGAGGCTCTCCTGTGCTGGTCAGGGACTCCGGGCTCTCCACCAATGTCCGCTCAGAGCACATGTGGGGAGTCCAGACCTGTGATGTGGACTGGGAATCTTGAGAATACTGGGCAGTCACAGGCTCTGTGAAAGCCCTTTAATCAACCTTGGGGAAGAAGCGTCTGGGGCAGCACATTTGGGAGACGGCTGGATTTGCTGCCCTCTGCTGATGGGGGCAGATAATGGAGGTAGCATCAGGTCTGACTCTGGCTTTACTGCTGGGTGAGTTGCATGCTGCACATGGCTTCTCTAATAAAACCCGTAAACTGAATAAATGAAGCACAGGAGGTGACGGAAGCAGCCTCAGCGGCCCCTCCTGCCTTCCTGTTGCAACACAGCCACTGTCACTTATTTCTTACAGGACCTCCCACAGTGCTTTGCACACACAGCTGACAGAGAATGTATCTGCACTTATCTTGCTGAAAAAAAAAAGAAGGTTCAGACTTACCCCAAGCACACCCTGGGGCAATTTACTGTAAAATTCACTTTTCAAAAGAGAGGTGTGGCTCCCAAGAGTTCTAAAAACCTGGGGCCAGAGGCGCCAGCACAAACATGAGACACTCGGGTGTGTAACTGGCCTAAAGATTTGTTCACAGGGCATTTTCTTCTCCGTCTCACTGTTGGTGTTTTGCTTGTGAGGGGATAACAGGCCAGATCCGCTGGTGTTGGAGCCAGCAGATCTCCAGTGTTTGGTTAAAAAAAAGTTGCTATGGCGACCAGAGCTTTCTCTCATGATACTGGGCCCTTGCAACTCTGTTTAATTCTCTGTAGCAGCACTGTTTCTGGGTGGTTTGAGTCACATCCAAGGCTGATTTTGACCTTAGTTTACCTTGCCTTCTTTATTAACCAAAAGAAGAATGCCTTCCCCCCCACAGTAGTAGCACATGCTCTGACAGAATTTTCTTTTCTTTTCTAACTTTATTTGAGTGTGTGGATGTTTTTTCCTCACATGTCTGTGCAGCATGTGTATGCCTGGAGGTTAGAAGATGTCGTTAGATCCCCTAGAACTGGAGTTACAGATGGTTGTGAGCTACCGTATGAGTAGGAATTGAACTTGGGTCCTCTGCAAGAGCAGCCAGTGCTCTTAACCACCGAGCCACCTCTTTGTCCCCTGTGGTGGAATTCTAAGAAGACCTGGGGATATAGCTGAGTGGCAGAGCACCTGCCTAGCATGCATGAGACCCTAGGTTCAAGCGCCTCAGTACTGCACACAAGAGCTTAAGAGGCAAATTATAGCAATATCTTGTAATACAATGGGAGGGTCATCAGAAACACACACACACACACACACACACACACACACACACACACACACACACTGCTTCATCTATGAAGCATCCATGAGCACTTCAAAACCCTATGAGCTAGGTATCATTACCTCCATTGTAGAGAAACGAAAGGGAGGGCTCAGACCTATTTAAATAATTTGTTCAAAACCACACGGGTGGGAATAAAGCTTAGCTCTGCACGGCTCAGGAAAGCATTCTTTTTACCATTATCCTGGATATGAGTGATAAGCACAAAAATATCCCCGAAGGACCAATAGCTAGCTTTACACAGTGTAGCTCTTGGCCACAATCCACGAATGCTCCACACAGATGTGAGAGATTGTTCCAGAATGTAAGTCTGTCTGCTCAGTTCAGACTCCACTGCAGAGTCCTTCAATGAGCAGCCCAGTTCTTGGTGCCCTTTTCAGATATCTCCCAGGCAGCCTCAGGGTCTGTCCTTGAGGCCAGGGCTCCCACTAAGATCTCAAATAATCCTTGCATAGCTGTGGGTCTCTGAGCAGGGGACTCTCTATAAACTCACACAGTCCTCGCAGGTTTAGCTTTTCAGAAGTTCAGGTGTAACAACAAGGCTACGGGGACGTCATTAAGTTACCTTGCCACGGGCTCTGCAGATGCTTCCAACTCTTGGGAAGACCAGACCCTATGTGCTTTCCTTGGTCCCCCCCCACCTCTCTCAGTAGGGCTGCATGTAGCTCAGGCTGGCCTTGAATTTGCTCTGTTGCTAAGGCTGGCTCTGTTTCTACTCCCAGGTGCTGGGGTTACAACCATGCAGAGCCATACTTGATTTTTATGTCATACAGGGGATGGAACTCAAGGCTTAATTGATATTTTAAAGGAAATTGTCTCCCTGACAAATCTCTTTGCCTAATTATGGCATGGGTGGGGAGCAAGCCTTGTTGAGTACATTCAGCTTTTTCCTCAAATTGTAGAGTGTGGGGACAGGGAACTGGCAGTGTGGAGCTGTGGTCTGCAGGGTTCACGCTCTGTTTTGTCCCTAGCACACTCTTGCCGGGAAACCTGGGCTGAGTTACCACATCTGCGGCCCTCGCCTCCTGGATCTTCTGCACTGGCTCATCAGGCCCTCAGCCCTGAGCTCTGTGATGCCATCAGATCTGGTGGCTCTGGAACCCTTTGCCTGCAGTTTAATTGGGCTCTTTTGGGCAGCCAGGTTGCATGTCTTTTTTATGGTGCTTAGTTTGGCTAGCTCTGATGCTTTGTATTGCGTATCTTCCAGCTGCTCGTTAGGTTCTGAAATATTAGTAAATTGGAAATTTCAGCATTGGAAGCTTCACCTTCTGTTCTTAGGTTACTCTGCTGAGGATTCAAGCTGGCCTCTAAGTTCTGGGTTTGAGCCTGTGAAATGCTGGGGAGATGGGTGGAGAGCTTTGGGGTGATTCTGTGCAAAGAATGTGCCAGGGGTGAGCTCATGAGTGCTGAGTGTTAGGAAACATCTGGGTATCAGGCACGCTCAGCAGAGATGGAACTGGCCTTCAGAGATGGTTAAAAATATGCCATGGCTCCCACAAATTAAACCAAATAGTTTCCTATGAACAGAGGTCATTCAAGGAAATTGGATTTCACAGAGAGAATACTAAAGCAATCACGGAAAAAGTGTACCACACACGCCAAGTTTTCTCTGCAAATACCTTTCCTCCGGCCTAGTTTTCACATGCACTGTCTTGTTGGGAGGGCTGTAGGCATTTCTTAAATTACAACAGGCTTAATCTTCCAAAGTTTGTTTGGATTTGGCTGTTTGGGATGGTGGTTGGGGAAAAAAATCAGTAAAGAATGTCTGGTTCTCAGGCTAGACCACAAAACTCATTGGCTCACTGATGTCCATGGACGTAAGAGGAAGTTGGTGCTCTGGTGATGCGTCAGGACAGGTGACATCCGAACAAACGTCTTCCCATACATGCCTCTCTTCACTGAGTCACGCATCCATCACCTATCAATCACTGGGGCCTTCAGAGAGCACTGAGCAAGCCTCAGGGTCTTACCCTCAAGAAGATAGAGACTAGAGGTGGAAACAGAGTCAATGACTCACAAACAATGGACCCAAGCAGCGATCTGGGATGGTGCCATCATTGATTGAACCAGAGACAGGCACCTAACGTGAGTTGGGTTAGTAACATTCTCTCTTCTGGGTATCAGAACCAATCCTGGAAGTGAGAACTGCTGTGGGAGGCATCACCTTCTGTGTTTCAGATAGAGGCAGAGAAGAAAGATGTTTAAAACCTTCTGACTTGCCCCATTCTCACTACTGCACCTCCAAAATGGGTGTCAGGGAGCAGACAGGTCTGTTGGCTCTGCCTTTCCCTTGAAATCCTGGTTTCCATAGAAAATCTCCATACATATGTGTGTGTAAACATGTGTATGTATACATGTATGTAGAAGTATATAAAGTGTCCATGCAGTAAGTGTACACACACTTTCAGTGTTCTTTCTGCTTAAACCTTTCAGTGTCTCCCACCTACAGGATATCCGAGTTTTTAGCACAAGCTGGTTGGCTGGCTTCCCTGAAGCCTCACCTTCTTTGAACCCTCTCCCTTAATGTCAGTCCATCATTTCCAAAGAAGACACCATGCACGCTCTGGCTTTTCTTGTGACAACACTCACATCATAGTTCAGTGACAGAGGCAAACAGATATTGTGTGAACCCAGGGCAAGAGAAAGTAGCCTAT